ATTTTTAACCGTAAGTCCTTTGAAAAGGACGTACACGCGAATCTTTCAAATCTTATTAATTCTTTACAATTATTATTATTAATAATATTAATCATAATTTTGTAAGCAGTTGCTTATTTACACGAATCGTATTTTACATTTTTATTCTAAAAAAAAAAATAATTTAAAAATATTCATCTATAGATTATGTTTAATCCGTAAAAAGATAACAGAACAAAAGTTCAACGCGTAAGAAATGAAAACGAGAAAAATCTCTCACCATTTTAAACAAAATTTCTTATCTCAAAGTGTTCAAATCCTTAGTTTAGAATTTCAAAGATTTCATTCGATTTAAGATTTCTCGTAAATTGTAATTAGTTGAAAATAACTCGTTCAAATTTATTCCATTTCTTAAAAACAACTTCATTGAATATCTTGATTTTGTTTATTCATTTTCATTGATTGTTAATCAAACAAATAATTCAATTTTGTTATTAAATGTAACAAAAAAACCCAAAACAACAATCCCACATAAACAAAGTGTAAAAAAAAAACGTTATGCATAATGTTATAATATAAATGAACAATATTAAAAACAAATTAATTAAAAAAGTGAGGTTAGGTGTATGAGAAGTAATGAAAATAAAAAATGGAAGCACAAAAAAACAAAAACAAAAAATAATTACAAGTCCGTCGATGGTAGAAATAATAAATTAATGTGCTTCAACATTTACGCTTGGCGCGATTCCTTTTTGTATCTCTCATTGTTTTTTAACTTACTAAGCTTATATATATATATAAGCGGGGAACCGGTTTTCTACATGGAACGTACTACGTATCGATTTGCCTATGCGGTGTTTGCCGAAATATTATATGTATGCGCTGTCACATCTACTTGAAATCGATAGAATTTAGTATCCTATTTTTATTACAAACGTATTTTTTATTATTATTATCATATTCAAAAAAAAAAAAAGAAATAATCTACTAAAGAATTTCTTCACATTTTTCAGTACTTTATTTTTTTTTTTCTTGATTTATTTCATACATTAATTCTCATCAAAATATCTTAATAACATTGACGAATATTAAAATCGTTATGATTTGTTACCAGAAAAAAAAAAACAAAATGGTGCCAAGATAACATTTCAAACTTATTAACCTAAAATTCAGCAAATACAATTTTAATATTGTAATTTGTAATCAATGAAAATTATTTGCTTTCTCAATTTTCTATTTTTCTTTCTTAAACAATGGACTTGCACCAATTTCGTAATTTGAAACAATCCTCACGTTTGCCAAATCGTGATAAATTTCGCAAAAGAAAATTGATAAAGTTTATTACGAGTGTATCCTATATCATTTGTTATAAAACAATGGATAAAAACTATTATTATTTTAGCGAAAGAGGGTTGAAATTAATTATTAATAATTTAATTATTAATTAAATAATAATAATAATAACAAATAAAGATCACCGATTGAAGTTAAATTGCATTACTGACCTGTTAATGGCAATAAAAACAAATTTGCACAAAGAAAAAAAAAGAAAAATAAAAGGAAATGAAGAAACGTTTCTCTATTAATGGGTTAATAATTTTGCATATAAAGAAAGAAACATTAAAACATGGATCGTTGGCACGTGTACCATGAATAAGCACTTTGTCACCGGATAAATCTTTCCCTCTATTTATCTCAACTTCTATCTTTCTTTCTCTTTCTCCCTTTCTTCTTTATCCCTCCTCCTCTCTTTCTTTATCTCAAAGACATAAAAGGAAAATTTAAAAGGAACGAATATAGCATTGTCTAGGCCTTCTAACGTCTGTTCTCGGTCAAGGCGTTATAAAAGGCTTACAACATCCTATCAGAGTAATAGTACCCACTTAATTACCACGATGACACGAAGAGAATCATAATTGGAAAACGTCACGAAGAGTATCTTTTGTTTTTTTTTCCTTTTTCTTTTTTTTGTCTCTTTCTCCACTTCTAGGATGTCATAAAAACTAAACTTTTTCATACATGTGTAAGAAAAAATGATATACTATGGTGTTACAGCTAATTTAAAATAATTTTCTTTTTCTTTAAACATTTCTTATTCGATGATTAAATAATAATAATGATTATTATTAATTTTGGAACTAATTAAAATTGTTTTTGTAAGAAAAAAAACTTCCTATGATCAATGATTTTGGCGCCCATGATTAACGTCCGCCATTAATCAACGGCAGCCATCTTTAATTTTAATTAATTCGTCTTTTCGTTTTAAAATGAAACAATAGTCGTTGAAATGTACTCTTAAACGTGAGAAAACTTCTTCATTGGCGATTAGATCGCATTAAAAAAAATCCCGAGTAACATATATATATATATATACGATATATGCGTTTCACTGAGAAATTGCAAAAAAAAAAAAAAAAAGAAAGAGAAAGAAAAAAAGTACTTCGTGGCAATCACGCGCGTCTCTTACGCGTTTTGTCAAGGTAACGGAAAATATGATATCACATCCGAGAACTATTATATTCTTTCTTGATATTGTACGTGTGAAAGAAAAAAAGAATAAAAGAAAAGTATTTGAAAGAAAAAAAAAAAAAAGAAACAAGAAAATCTCATAGAAAAATAACCTCCAAATTCGATATGCTGTTTGAGTCATAATGGCGGAGAAGAGTTGTGTAAAACAAAAATATATATACGATATAATAAAATACAGTGAAGAATATATCTATACATGCATCATACATGTACATATTGCGTGATCTAACCTAATTTCGTCTTCTTTATTTGGTGAGATATAAAATAAAGAGAAGCATTGAAAGAGAAAGAGAGAAAGAGAGAAAGAGAGAAAGAAAGAGAAAGAGAGGGAAATATTCTTTTTGAATGAAATCAAATCTACATACATATGTATGCATATATGTCAGCATTAATTTGTATAATTCAGTTAAATCGTGGAAACCTTAAATTTTATCCGAAATGACTAGGTGGTTTTTGGAGGGAAAAGGGGAAAGTATATCAAATTATATTATATACTAAAACTAATAATTTTAGGAAATAACAAGATTATATATGAATTCATAAGAGACGGGCGAGTAATTAAAATTATAAGATTGAAATTAGATCCATCTTGAAAAAAATCTCCCTTTGTTTCTACAACAATGCTCGTAATTTATCTGTTCTCTTATCTCTTCCTGACTTTGAAAACAAATGTTTTGTTAGTTGTGTTGTGTATTGGTACTATCGGATCGAATCTACGGATTAAATTTCAACTTCAATAATACTTTAACTGCTTGACTTTTGTAAATTCATATATTACCTAATTTTTGAAGTATGTCAAATTTTGTCTTTTCTTTTGTATTTTCATATTTAACACTAGATATACCAGACCAATCATTTTGACTGATCGGGCCATTTTAATTCAAAATTTCTACTTCATGTAACATTTAATTTCTGTAAATAATTAAGCGTTTTGTTATTTAAAAATATCTATAAATCCATTTATCTATTAAAAATATTATCGTTAGACATTTTTTGTTATTTTTTAAGAGTAAATCAAGACTGGAAGCCTCAAAAAGCATTTTTTTGTATACATCAATCATTTTGACTAGTGTGGTAGAAATAGGTATACTGAAAATGGTAGTATATCTAGTGTTAAACAGATCAATATAATCATCTAACAAATTAATACTACACACATATATACAACATAACATGTTGTACATAAATCCTATGATATAAAAGTTCAATGAAAATATCTTTCTATCAGGGATAAAAATAAAACAAAAATAGAAACGAAAATCAATGGTAAAAAAAAAGAACAACAAACATAACCTAAAAGAAAAAAACCCAAAAGAGCTAAAAAAACAAAGAAAAATCCACACAAGATAAATAAAAAGAAAGAGGTTTTAGTAGACGTACATTCAACGTCAGGGACATTTCCTTTGCTAGATAAATGCACACACACACACACAAGATCTGCCTTGAAGGTGATTTCTTTTCTATCTTTCTCTCTTTCTATCTTTCTATTTCTCTGTTATTTTTTTTTTCTTTTTATATTTTACTCTCTTTCTTGTTCGGTGTTTTTTTTTTGTTCAGTCGAAATATATTTGGTAAGAAGAAGAAGAGGAGGTCTAGGTAAGGTGGTGAGGAGGAGATGAAGGAGGAGGGGGTGGAGAAGCACGTGAAAAAATTCGTCTTCTTTCTCTTTCTCTCTCTCTCTCTCTCTCTTTCAACTTTTATCCGAACTGTTTGTATTTATATTCGCGCGACCTGTTGCGTAAGAATAGACGAGAACTGTGCGAGGACAACACGGCAACACGACTGTACTACGAGTATGAGAGAAAAAGAGAAAGAGAGAAAGACAACCGTGTCAAAGATTTCGCATAAAACGTAATAAACACACAGTAGTAGTGTGACACACAAAATAGAAACAAATTTCTTTCCTTTCCTGTATAAAAAAAAAAATGTCTACGATAAACCAAAAACTAAAAATGCGTTGCAACCAACCAGAACTCTTTCATCTATTATTGTTCCCACAAGAGTGTATAGTTAACTGTTATGAAATTTATTTTTTTCAGTTTTCAAGTTTATTTCTAGACACCTAGTAAGAGAGAGAGAGAAGAAAAAAAAGATTAATTTATCTAAAAAGAAAAAACAACCACGTGATTTTGAATTTAATGAAGAAAATATGAAGGAATAGTATGACCACTGCAAGATTGTCGAATACGCGCTCAAACTGAACTGACAGGAACCCGACGTTGCTGAAGAAAACGATTGCATGTGTAATCGCAACTCTAAGTATTCACACACATATATATATATATATGCGTATATGGATGATCATTCTCCCTCTACTCTCCCTAAAATGATACGTAAAAGCGTTCTCGTACGCGACAAACGCGTCATACGTAATATGTCTCCTCTCTCTCTCTCTTGTTCTTCGTTTTAATTTCCTTTCTCTTTCTCTCTCACTCTCACATATACATATCTCTCTATACACATATACATATATATATATTCATTCCCTCTCTATCTTTTTAATCTCCTTTTTATTTCGAATAATCAACTTTGTGGCGTTTGATAAGCGAATAAAACGTGAACGAAGAAACCCATTAAAACTGTTGTATCAATGACCGGTAAAGATGTAATGTTAGGAAAACCTGCGCCTAGGTGTTTTTGACGGTGAAAAAGTCAAGTAAAACATCATTTTATATTGTTTTGATATACTACTCTATTTACTAGTACAACACAACACAATAATAACTATTACTACTACATTATTACTGCTACCACTACTGTTACTGTTACTACTACTATTACTACTATTATTTTATTACAAATATTACGGAATTAATGTGTAATCTTTTCGATATGGCGCTCACGTATTGAATACCAACGTTATATACATGTAAATTTTCTACGTACGCATACATTCTTAACTATTATTCTTTTTCTCTCTCTCTCTCTCTCTCTCTCTTTCTTTCTTTCTTTATTTTTTTTTTCTCGTTATCCTAGCCAAATCGTCAATCTTCACGTCGCATTCCTATTTTTCCATTCGATTAGTTAAATAAACAGAGAGACAAAGAAGCTAATCTAGAGCTAACAATCGATAAGGAAGAAACAAGAAGAAGAGGAACATGTGACGCGAAATTATCAAAGTAAATGAAGACAAAGAATAAAAAACAAAAACGAATTGAAGAAAGGAAGAAGTTAAAAACGATTGGTTAGTTCATTGATAAATTTGGTTATTGTTGCAGCATGGAAGATGGCAAACTTATAAGGCACGACAATGGAAAGATCAATTTGTTCGATTAGAGATACCAACGTGTGATCTTGTTGATCGTAGAAGAAAACAAAAACACACGTACGTGTTACACACAGAGAGAAAGAAAGAGAGAGATACGCGATATTAATATATATAGTGTGCCCACGAGAATTTCTGTATTAGTACGTAGTACATTTTATATACAAAGATACACCGTTTTTTATATGTCGTATAAAAAGAAATTACATGGATGTTTTCAACATTGGCAGCTATACCTCTCCCCCCAACCCAGATTGTTTCTATGGTGAGAAAAGTGATATATAACTATAATGATGATGATGACGATGATGATGATGATGATGATGATGATAATGATGATGATGATGATGATGATGATGACGATATGATGATTGTCTAACATCCACAGTAGATGAGTTTAGCAAGAGAGATTCATTTAGCAATACGAAAAGCAAGAAAGGAAAATATCGAGAAGCGAGGGGGGAAAAGGAGTAGAAGAGGGGGAGATAATGCATGAACGTGAAGGCGGGTGTTTTTGTGTGGGTGTAGATGTGTGGGAGCGTAGGTGTGTGCGAGAGGACGCGCGTCGTCGCGACGCGTTTCGCGCACCACCGGTCATCCTCGTTCACGCACGGAAAGCAGCACCCTGTGCTCTCTCTCTCTTGGATTATCATATTTCTTTCTTTTCCTAGCCTTTCGAATCGTCACGAACTTTTTCTAAGGGGACTCAATAAAACGTAGAAGAGGATCGGCAGGACGATTAGAAGAAATACACAGGTCGTGATCGCGACACTGGGCTAAACAACACGCATCTTTCCTCTTTCCCGGGGGGGCAGCCATTTGCTACGATCGAGTTGTGTGTAGAAAATAAAAGGTGTACGCACTATAAAAACGGAAGGCGATGCCACCTTGTAGTAGGCCAGCTCGTATCGTGATAATCAAACACTAACAATCCTTACGCTCTTCGATGCCACGACGCCAAAATCTGTCAACGCCTACGAAGAAAAATATTTGAATTTTTCTTACCTGAACAGTCCTCTATACAGCTAAAAGGATTCTCAGCTTCGAATATCGCGACCCCACGCTTACTTGTACGGCATATGGAAGTGTACAGAGAAAATCTCTATTACCATTGGCTTATTTCAGATAAGCCGCAAAAAGTAAGCCAATCAGGGCCGACCTTTTATGTTTTGATGCGTTTCTTTTTATCCCTCGATAAAATGTCTGCTCTTAAAAAAGGCGGGAAAACTAGGGCTCAAAAATGATTCTCCTTATTTTTATCGATTATTGTTCTTTATAGTTAACTTTCATACGCCATTAAAAAAAGAAAATTTTATCTTTTTATTTTTTATATTTACGTGTAATTTAATCGTTACGAATTATTGAAATTATTGACTAAAATATTATATAAAAAGGTTAGATCGTATTTCTATTATAGGTGGTGCCACTTTCTACACCGTTGCATTAGGAATAGGTTGATCGCAGGCCAGCCAACGTCTAATAAAACTAAAAAAAGAAAAAAAATATCCTCTACGTTGTCAAAGTGTGACTTGTGGCATTTATATAAATCGTGATTATGAGTTTATGCGAACGTAAGCTTTTTTTTTCTACCATTTCGACGTAAGACATTCATTGTAATTTGATTTAAATTGAAATTCAAGAATTATATCTCACTTACAAATAAATAATAATATACTGTTAATAATCACATTTTTATAGTATTACTTTTTTATATTTATACCTAATTCTCATGTTGTTCAGATACTACAAAATATTAATTTATTTTATTATAATTATATTTTTTTTTATTGTAAAACATTTTTACACGTAGTATATAATTGGTTCATTTACAATGCAATTTGACCAATCAGCATTTTTTAAAACGAAGTTACACAAATGGAAATAATATCTTGGTAGAACTGAAAACAATAGTTAATTATTACCTGTTATATTGCATCCGATAATTAATTACTGACTTAATTAGTACGTTGTAGCTACATTGTGCATATTCGCATTCTGTTTCACGAAATTTTTTTTTTCATATCTATGTTTATGCAGGGATCAATTTGATTGGTCTATATTTGATTATATTTTCGATAATAAAAAATATACGTCAATTATATCGATATCAAATTCGATATCTCGTTAAGATTCATCGAAATATAACCATTCATGATTACCGCCAGAAATTGAACGATAATTAAACGTTTTTAATTTAACAAAACAATTTATTTATTAATATTTATATTTATCAATTTTTATTTGTACCATGGACAGCAAATATTCTGACACTGTATATTCTTGGTATGTTGGTATGTTAATATATATTAAATCATATATTTAATGTATTTTATATTTATTTTTATAATGTTATGCTTTTAGGTTTGAAAGATGTGGTATCATATCAAATATTAGAACAAATCTACGCAGAAATTTGGTCAATGCATTAAAATATAAAGATTTATCTTTAAAGGATTATTGTAGTAAACCTAAACCAGCTAAACAATATGTTTTTGATTTTCTTGTAGCGGAGTATTTATTTAATGTTAATTATGCTTATACATTGTCAGTATTTGCTAGTGAAGCACCACTTTTGATACAGTTTGATAATCATGTACCTGATAGTTATGATGAAAGAAAAACACACAGTAAACAGAAGTTACAAAAAGATTACATATATCATACGTTAGAAACTTTAGGAATACGACCAAATGATCCTGAAGGACAATATATTATGTCAGAGTATGTAAATAATGATGCACCTTTACTTTTATGTATTTTAAAATGTATATCTGTTTGTACATTGAATTTAAACAAAGTTCCAAGTTTTCAAAAAACTACAATGACCAGTACCAAAGAAACACAGACAGATAGTTCTCTACGAATGAGTATGGAAATAGAAAAATTAAGATCTGTCAAGAAGAAAATATTTAAACAGAAACAATTATTTGACATGCAATTGAAAGAAAAAGAAATTGGATTAAAAAATCGTGCCATTGTTATCGAAGAACAACTAAATTCTTTGAATAAAAAATTAGATAAAGCTCAGGTATATTATTATTTGATTAAAACTAAATTCAACATTTTTATAAATCATCTTCAACCTTTTGTAAATAACTGATTTATAAAAAGGTTGAATTACGAGTACAAAACTTGTATCCACTTTATATTTAATGTGCATTTTTTAGGAATTAATGAATATGGTTACTTTGAAAGAACAACAGTTGAATGAAAAAAAGCAGAAAGAGGAACAACACTTGTTTCAAAAAGAAATAGAATTATCTTTTAAACAGAACGCTTTGCTATTAGAAAACGAAAGGTAAAATATTTTCCTTAAAGATGTTTAATAATTTCAATTATGAAAGATTTGATAAACAATAATAGAATTATTCGCAGAATACAAAAAAAGCAAGACATGTATGAGAGTTATAAGCGTGATTTGGAGAAATTGCAAGAAGAGCTTGCTGTGACCAAAAAAGCTTTTTCTACCAATTGCGAGTTAAGAGATACAGGAATACAAACGAGTTCTAGTAACGATTTAGGAGATCAAAATAAAGATGCACAATTTCATGGAGAAAAGAAAGAATTGATCAAGCTTTTGAATGATCAACAATTAAAAATAGATGAATTGACTCAATACGCGATTCAATTATCGCGTAGATTTGAAGAAATTCATCAATCGAGGTCTACATTAATTGAAGATCCTGCGATAACAAAAAAAGCTCTCTATACTAACACCGTTGTTAGCGAGAGCAGTTCAACTGAAGATATATTGCAAGATGCTAAATTACGTTTGAAACGTTTGGAAGAAGAAAGTATAAAAGCCGATAGGTTTTATTATAATTCTATTGCTACATAATTAAATATGTTATAAAACATATTTTGTATAAACAAACATACATACACACGCACACGTATTTTTAGATCGTATATCCAAAAGTGTCAATGATAATTTATTTTGTACAGATAGTTGATTACACCAGCACGATGATATTGTACATTTATTGGGTTATATCGTTTATATATATATACAGTATTATTATTATTATTATTATTATTATTATTATTATTATTATTATTATTATTATATTTTCATCAAATAAGTAAAAAGATAAAAGTTTTACTATAAATTTATTTGTTTTCATTAATCTATTGGCTATAATGTTATCAGACAATTAATAAGTACCTTCATAAGTATATATTACTTTTATCGGATATCAAAGCAATCTTTCACAATTCTTTAGCGACTAACACATATCGGTACAAACTTTGTGATGAACAATTTGTTTTTGTTTATCTTTTTTTCTTGTTTCTTTCAGAAATGATTAAGTAGTTACAATCAAGTGCAAGAAAGCACATTGAATAATATGAATTGAATGAGAAATAGTTTATTTTATAAAAATGGACGTTAACGTAATATACAAATTATCCACTAGTTTTTTTTCTTTATTATGACGAATTCTACTTTTTAATTACATGCAACATCAAACGTAATATATAAAATGTTAAATCAACATTTTTTCTGTTGCCGTGCATCATCTTCGTTTGGGATCTGAACTTCTCCTAGTATACTTTTATTAAGGATAAATATTTTTATTGAAATTATTTTAATATATTTTTTTTTAAGGTAATTTTCTAAGCTACCCAATATATAGAGAAGTTTAGAAAATATTTTTTATTAATATTTTACTTGAAACAACGTTTTCTTGTATAAAAAGGATATTGTTTGTCTCTGTTCTCACGTCCTTCACGTTCATGTGTACGTTCCTTAGTATACGGAGATTTTTCCTGAAAATATATTGATGAATAAATGCCTTGTATGCCTTGTGACTTCTGCGATTAACATTGGGTACTTGATAGTATCACCTATGTTTTCTCGTCTTTGCTACTGTCTCCCGTCTCATCTTTTCAATATACTCGAAGTGGACGTCTTTATCAACTAAGGGGCCAAGTAATAAGGTTAGAAAAAATAATAACAATTTTACTTTTAATACACAAAAACTAGCCAAATGTGAACTTACTGCTTTAGTTTTTTTTTTTTCTTAAATTTCTTTTTCTTAAGAAAAAAAAGAAAGAAATAAAAATCCTCTCCTTATGTCCCCCCTTGATATTCAAAGGATTACAAAGAATAGTACCAGAGTACAATTCATGAATTTTCATAATTAATTAACTAACGTAAAAAAGATGAGAAAGACAGCTTTACATTATATACACTTTAATTGTGTATTATACGTATTTTCTATATGTACAGGATGAGGTGTTTAACTGTTTCACTTAAATATCTTCTTTATTTACAATCTTATTGAAAAACTTGAAAGGAAAAAGTTCTACTATTGCAGAAAAGGAATTCTAATAATACAAAGAATATTTTCTCGAAGTCATTTTTTACAAGATTTGAAGATCAACTTGATTTTTTTAAAATAATATATATATAAATTAATATAAATAAAATATTCATATATACAATTATATATATATATATATATATATATATAATATAAATTATAATATTATGATTATATTAAATATAAAATATAAAA